GAAGTGAAAAAGGTTAAATAAAATATAGAAAAGAATGACTAAAGGGAGAAAACCTCAAATTTGAGGAGAAAAAATTCAGATTCAAGGAAGAAGAGGAAAATTAAAGGTGAAAAATGCCAAATTTGTGGCAGAATAGCCCAAATTAAAGCAGGAAAAAAAAGGTTGGAAATCCCCCAAAAAGCCAGAAAAAAAGAAATTAAACATAGAAAAAGCAAATTAAAAGTGGAAACCCCAGATTAAGTGCAGCAATACCCAAATTAAACGTGGGAAACTCCCAAATTAAAGCAGGAAAGCCCCAAATCAAAGGCGGGAAAAGCCAAACAAAGTGTGGAAATACAGAAATTAAAGACGGAAATCCCCGAATTAAGTGCAAAAATACCCAAATTAAAGGTGGAAAACTCCAAATGAAAGCAGGAAACCCCCAAATCAAAGGTGGGAAAAGCCGAACAAAGTGTGGAAATACAGAAATTAAAGACAGAAACCCCCGAATTAAGTGCAAAAATACCCAATTAAAGCATGAAACCCCCAAATCAAAGGCGGGAAAAGTCAAACAAAGTGTGGAAATACAGAAATTAAAGACGGAAATCCCCGAATTAAGTGCAAAAATACCCAAATTAAAGCAGGAAACCCCCAAATCAAGGTGGGAAAAGCCAGACTGACGGCATAAACCCCCAAATGAAGGGCGAAATCCCCCAGTCCAAGGTGGGATCCCCCATGGAAGGTGCCAGATCCCAGTCCGTACCAGGAGGTCAGGGCTGGAGCCCCGTTCCCGGTTCCCGTCCGGTTTCCCGCCGGATTTGGGCATCATCTTCTTGCTGGCGACGGTGGGGACGAGGCAGACGCCCGAGAGCCCCTCGCAGGCCAGGAGACTCGCCTGGAACAGGGAGGGACCCCCAGCATCAGCCCCCAGCCCCGGAACACCCTGGAGGAGGGGTGGGGCAGCAGCCCCCAGTTCTGGGCCCTGATGGGAGCTTTGGGATAATGTGGGGAAACTCCGGGATGATCACGAGGGAAGTTTGGGATGATCCTGGGGAAACTCTGGGATAATCACGAGGGAAGTTTGGGATGATCCTGGGGAAACTCTGGGATAATCACAAGAGAAATTTGGAAGAATCCTGGAGAAACTTTGGGATGACCACGAGGGAAAATTGGGATGATCGTGAGGGAAGTTCCGGGGAAACTTTGGGATGATGTCAAGGGAAGTCTGAGATAATCTGGGGAAGCTTTGGGGATGATGGCAGGGGAAATTTGGGATGATCCCAGAATAGTTCTGAGAAGATCCCAAACTGGAACAGAAGGGGTTGAACGCTCTTCTTTCAGCCCAATGAGGATTTAAGGTCAAATGGGAAAATTCAAGGGAATTTTGCAGAAACTTTGGGATAATCCTGTGAAAAAGTGGGATAAACTCATGGCAAAACGGGAAGACCCCAAAATTGGGAATGGAGGAGGATGAACCCCCTTTTTTGAGGCCTGTTGGGACCTAAGGGTTAATGGAAATTAGGGGATAATCCCAGGGAAAAATGGGGAGTTATGGGGAAAATTTGGGGTAATTCCTGAATAATTCTGTTAAGAGCCCCAGAGAAGGAGGGTTTGGGGAGGCTGAACTCTAAATTTGAAGCCTGACAGGACCTAAAGGCTACCAGGGAAATCTGGGAAATCCTGGAGAAAACTGGGATAATCACAAGGAAAATTCAGGATAAATGTAAGGAAATTTTGAGAGAATACCAAGGATAAGTGGGATAATCCTGGGGGTAACTGTAGGAAGACCCCAGGGTGTGTTTGGGGTTGGAAAATCTTCTTCCAGCCCAGAGAGGATCTAATGGATAACAGGAAATTTCAAGATAATCCTGGGGAAAATTTGGATTATCCCATGGAAAACTGGGACAATTCCAGCAGAAGCTGGGAGAATTCAGGAATAATACTGGAAAAACCCCAAAAGTGGGGAGGGAAAGGTGGGGGGAGGCAAAACCACCCCCAAACCATCAACTGAATGACTGACCTGCCTTTACTGGGGCCCTAAAGGCTACTGAGGAAATTTGGGAAATCCTGGGAAAAACTGGGATAATCAGGGGAAAAATTTGGGATAATACTGTGAAAGTTTGGGGAGAGTCCACGTGTGGAGGGGCAGCTTGAACCTCCTTTTTTGAGGCCTCAAAGGCCCTCAGGGCTAAGGGGAAAATTCAGGGTATTTCTGGGGAAAATCAGGATAATCTTGAGGAAAACAGGGATAATCCTGTGATATGCCCTGAAGCAGGATGGGGGGATGGGGAGGCACCCCCCACCCTGGCGCAGGGGGAGGGAAGCTCCAGCTCTCTCCCCTCTTCTTTCCCTTTTCCCGTTTTTTGGGGCCGTTGTTCCCCCAAATTCCTGGGCCTGGGGGTGTCAGGATGCAGGGGGTGGGGGCTCATTACCTGAGCCATGCTGTGGGAGCCTTTGGCCTTACTTCTCGCCCAGGTAAAGCTCGTTTGGGGTAAGAAAAGGTGGGATCAGTAAATTTTTATGGATTTTTGGGCGGGCTCCAGTACCCGCCACGGCGCCGCCATTCCTTCTTCTCCTCCTCCTCCTCCTCTTCCTCCTCCTCTTCCTCCTCCCGAGGGGGCCACTGGGGCAGGAAGGGGGGGAGACAGGGCCGGGCTTGCCCCCAAATTCGGGACCCCCCGAGCTGGGCGGGTGCTGGATCTGCAGGGACGGAGCTGAATCCAGAGGGATCCGCCTGGGGGAACAGCAGGAAAAGGGGTCAGAGAGGGGACAGAGGGGGGACAGAGAGGGGACAGAGAAAGGCCTGAAGAGGACCTCGGGGTGGGAGCCAGGGGGAGAACAGGGACGCCCCGCGAGGAATGTGGGGGGGTGTCGCAGGTCAGGGCGGCACTGGGAGGGAAATTCCTGAAACAGGGGGCATCACAAGGGAAGGGGGAAAATGGGGATCCCTGGGGAGCGGGGGGTGGGCGTGGGGACGGTCCCGGGGGATCCTGAGGGTGTCTGTAACCTGCGGGGGGTGACACAGGGGGTGATCATTAAATCTGGGGGAGGGGAAGGGCACGGAGGGGGTGGGACACACCCGGGAGACCCCGGGGACAGCAGGGCAGAGATACCGGGGGGGGGTGGTCACGCCGGGAGGGGCCGCACCGGGGATCGGGGCCGCCTCCCTCGTTAGGGACCTCCCCCCAAACCCTCCCCATCCCCCTCCCACCCCGAGCCCGTTCCCCTCCCCCCATCCCCCGTGGGAACGGCCCCCGGTGCCGGGCGCAGTCCGGGCGGCCCTGAGGGTGCCGGGAGTCTCGCAGGGGGTGTCACGGGGGGGTCCATCCGTACCTGCCGCGGCCCCTCCGCGCTCCGACCGCCCGAGCCCGGCCCCGCCGCCCCCCCGCCGCCGCCACCCGGAACCGGAAGCCCCCGCCCCCGCCGCCGCTTCCAGGGCGCCCAGGGCGCCTGGCGGAAGTGCGGGCGATCGTGCGCATGGGCAGAGCGGCGGCGTGACGGCGAGTACTGCGCCGCCATAGGGGGAGTAACCATGGCAACGGCGCGGCCTGGACCCCTCCGAGAGCCCCCGACCCTGCCCAGGGAACCCACCCGGGGACGGTCGCACTCCCCGTCGATTCCCCCTGACCCACCGCGAGTGGGACCCACTACGGCCCGACCCCACCCCCGACCCCCCGGTCGCGGGACCGACTCCCTCCCACCCGCCAATCCTCCGCCAGCGCCCCGCCCCGCGGCCCTCACTCGCGACAAACCCTTGGGGACACCCTACCACAACCCGGTTTGGGCTGCCCCCCTCACTCCCACCGCTTCCCTTGGGGTGTCCCCCGTGACTCCTTTTGGGGGCTGGTACGCCCCATTCCTCTGCCCCACTTTTTGCCCCTCCACACCCCCCGGGGGCGGTACTGGCTATCCCCGTGGCGTCTGGGAAATGAGCGCGATACTGGAAATGGAGCACTGGGATTTGGGGTACACTGGAAATGAAGGACACTGGGAATGGGTGTGGGGACACAGGACATGGGGGACACCAAACACTGGTGGGGGGAACACACTGCAAGTAATGGGGGGACACTAGGGGTAGGTAGGGGGACAGGGGGGACAATGAGAATAAGTTTGGGGACCCTGGGAATGGGTGGGGGCTACACTGGGAATGGGTTGTGGGGACACTGGGAGTGGGAGGCCATATGGGGTCACCACAGATCTTCCCACAGATCCGGGGACACAGTCCTAACCCTTCCCCCTGTCCCCAGAACCCTCCGGGGCTCCTTCCCGACTCCTGGACTTTGCTCCTTGCCCCCGGCGACGTGACCAGAGGAAAATTCCATCCTGGGGAGGGAAGAGAGAGGAGCTGGGAAAGCCTGATCCAGGAGAGCCTGATCCCAGGAAAAGCTTCTCCTGGCAGCACCTAATTCAAGGATCACCTGGTCCCAGAATCATCTAATCCCAGGAGAACCTGTTCCTGGCAGCACCTGATCTTGGAAAATTGCAGCTGGCAGAGGTGAGAGGAGAGGTGAGTCCAGAGAGCCTGATGCCCGGAGAAACCCATCCTGGGAACACCTAATATTGCGATCATCCTGTTACAGAACTACGTCATTCCAGAAGAACATCATTCTGGAATTGCCGTATCCCTGGAGAATTTCATCCTGAGAGAGCCTTATTCCAGCACCACCTCATTGCAGGGGGAAACTCAGCCTGGGATCATCTTATTGCAGGAGATCCTTATCCCACAATCACCTCGTTCTGGGATCACCTTATCCCAGGAGATCCTTGTCCCAGGATCATTTTATCCCAAGGTTATTTCCTTCCAGGAGAAGCTCATCCTGGGATCCCCCACTCCTGCCACCTGCTGCCAATTCCAGGGTCCCTCCCGCTGCACTTCGGGGTCTCCCTGTGTTCTCCTGCCATGGCTGAGCCCTCTGGGGCTGGGGACAGCATCCCATTGGAATGCCCTGGCCTGGACACGGCCGCTGGGGAGGAATTCCTGCAGGAAGTGTTCCAGATCCTGCTGGAGGAGGGCGTGCGGAAGAGCACAGATGTGACACAGAAGGTTGGGACACTGGGGCACTTGGGAGGGAGGGTCTCCAGTTCCATTGCATCCTATTCCTGTTTCCAGTACCATTCTCAATCCCAATCCCATTCCTGTCCCCACAGGTAGATGAGTGGAAGGAGCCCCCTGGGAGGGGATGGGGTTCCCGATTTGTCCCTATTGCTTGTCCTGTTCCCAGGCATTCCCTGTCCCAGTCCGTATCCCATTCTTATTCCCAGTCATTCCCAATCCTATTCCCAGTCATTCCCAGGCATGTGACTGGAAGCAGACATGGAAGGGGGTGAGGGTCACAATATTGCTCCTTTCCCAGTCCTGTTCCCATTCTGAAACCCAGTTCCAGTCCCATTCCCAATCCTGTTCCTAATACAAGTCCCGCTTCCAGCCCTGTTCCAACAGCTAGTCCCATTCCCAATCCCATTCTCAGTCCCGTTCGCGTTTCCAGTCCTGTTCCCATTCTGAGTCCCCTTCCCAATCTTATACTCGGAACAGGACTGGGAGTGGCACTGGGGTTGGGAATGAGAGTAAGTCCCAGTTGCAGTCTCAGTCTCATTTCCAGTCTTGTTCCCCATCTTGTTTCCATTTCTAGTCCTATTTGCAGTCCCACTTCCAGCCCTATTCTCATTCCCATTCCCCATTCTGTTTGCAGTTCTGGTGCCAGTCCCATTCCCATTCTGGTTCCTGGTTCCAGTCCCATTCCCATTCTCAACATCATTCCCAGCCCATTCGCCCTGCGGTTCCCAGTCCCGTTCCCAGTCTCGTTCCCAGTCATTCCCAGTGCTTTCCCAGGTGTGTGACTGGAAGGAGCCGCAGGAGCTGCGGGACCTGCTGGATCTGGAGCTGCGGAGCGACGGGGAGGGGCGGGAGCGGCTCCTGCAGCGCTGCCGGGATGTGCTGCGCTTCAGCGTCCGCACCGGTGCGCTCCCAGTACACACCAGTGCACACCAGTACAACCCCAGGGCAGGCCCAGTGCCTCCCAGTTTAGCCCTGCACAAACTGCGTTGGGCATGGCAGCTCTCACTTCGGCCCAGCGGTTCCCAGTGTGGCCCCTGGTGCCTCGCAGTCTCAAACATTGTGGCCCCTGCCATGTTCCCCTGCATGTCCCCCCGATCTTCTCTGTCTTGCTTGACTGCCCCCCTGCCCCCATTTCCCCCTGCATCCACTCCCTGACCCTCCCCATGTACCCCTGACTCCCTCCAAGCTCCTTCTGTTCCCTCCCTACCCAACCCCAATCCTTCCTGTCCCCACATGCTCCAGGTCCCTCCTGTGTCTCCCCTGATTCCCCTATATCCGCCCTGCCCACCCATTTTCCCATTTCCTCACACCCCCTCATTCTGCCCTCCATATCCTCCACCTGTCCCGCAGTCTCCTTCACACCCTGCCATGACTCCTCTGAACCTCCCAGGTCCTCCCCTTATCTTCCTGTGTCCCACCCTCCACGTGCCATCCCAAACTCACTCATGTTCCCCCCCATTTCCCCCTATCCCCTCCCATATCTCATTCTGTCTCTCACCCATGTCCTCCCCTGACCAACCTCTGTCCCCAACGTGTTCCCCCAGGTCACCCCCGGTTCTTCAACCAGCTTTTCTCGGGGCTGGACCACCACGCCCTCGCTGGCCGGTTCCTCACTGAAACCCTCAACACGAGCCCGTGAGCCCCCGACACTCCCAAAGGGGAGCTGGCGCGTGGGGAGACCCCTCAAAAAGCTGCCATGACCCTCCCCTCCCCCAGATCCACCTGCAAGGAGCCCCTAGTGCTGATGGAGGGGGAGGTGCTGGCGGGAGGATTTTGAGCTGCTCAGGTTTGGAGGGAGGGTTTTGGGGGTGTTGAGGAGCCCAAATGAGATAGGACCTGCCAAAACCCTGTGCTGACTGCCCTGATCTAGCCCCCAGTCTTGGTGCTGATGGAGGGGAGCTTCCGCGGGGAGGGTTTTGGGGTGCTGAGGCTCTGGGGGAGTTGTTTGGGGTTCTGAGGTTTCAGGGGGAGGGGAACCCCCCCGACTGCTGCTGGGCCCTTCCAGGTACACATACGAAGTGGCCCCAGTGCTGGTGCTGATGGAGGAGCAGGTCCTGGCCAAGCTCCGGGAGCTCGTGGGGTGGAGCAGCGGCGATGGCATCTTCGCTCCCGGTATCCCGGACCCTTCCCGAGGGGTATCCCTGTTCCCCCTCTGCCCCTGGCAGCCTGTCCATGGTGCTCTGGGGGTGAAACGGAGGTCCCTGTCCTGGGCAGGGGGCTCTATGTCCAACATGTTGGCCATGAACGTGGCGCGATTCCGGCGTTTCCCGGAGAGCCGCAGCAGAGGGAACTGGGACCTGCCTCGCCTGGGCCTGTTTGCATCCCAGGAGGTGGGACTGGGGGCTTGAGGTCACCCCAAAACCTAATCCTCAGAGTCATCCCAATTCTAATCCATGTGGTCATTCCAAACCTTATTCCTGGGGTCACCCCAAAACCTGATTCCTGGAGTCATCCCAAATGTGGCCCCCTGAGGTCACACGAAACCTGATCCAAATGTCATCCCTGGGACCCCCATGAAACGTGATCCAGGGGCTCCCCTGGGGTCATCCCAAAACCCGACCCTGGTGTCGCCCCAAAGCTGATCCTTGGAGGTTGCCCTAAACCTGATCCATGGGGTCACTCCAAAACCTGGTGTCACTGAGGTGACCCCAAAACCTGGTCCGTGGGGTCACCCCAACTCTGGTCCCTGAGATTACCCAAAATCTGGGGTTACCCCAAGTCTGGTCCCTGAGGTGAACCCAGCTCTGATTCCTGGGGTCCCCCCAATCCCGGTCCTGTTTTCCTGCCCAGAGCCATTACTCCATCCTAAAAGGAGCTGCTCTCCTGGGAATTGGCACGGACAATGTTCACCTGGTGCGGACAGATGAGAGGTGAGTGCTGGGAGGTCCCGAGGGACCCCAGGTCAGTGGATTCCTGCATGTATCCATCCCTATCCCTTCCCTTCAGGGGGAAGATGATCCCGGAAGAACTGGAGAAGGAGATCCAGAGGGTGAAAGCTGAGGTCAGGAGAGGCTGCACACCTCAAAGGCCCTCAAACTCCCCAATGTCTCCGCAGTATCCCCAACGGCCTTCCCAGTGTTCTCAAAGCTCCCTCAAAGTCCGTGTGTCCCTCTCTAAGTCCCCAAAGCCTCTCCAATGTTCCCAAAGCCCTTCCCATGTCCACAAACCACCCTCCATGTCCCCCAATGTCCCCCCAAAAACCCTGAATGTCTTCCAATGTCCCGCCACTGTCTCTTCAATTCTTCAATGCACCCAATGTCCTCTGTCCTCCCCAGACCTCCTGCCCTCCCATAAAGTCAGTTGCCTGGCTGCCCCAAAGCCCCCTGTAGCCCATTTCTTGCACCCCCAATGTCCCCCAGTATCCTCCAGCCGCCCACAGCTTTCCTCCTGAGCCCCCTCAAAGTCCCCCCAAATGCCCACCCAGGGCTCAGAGCCCCTTCTTTTTCTGTGCCACCATCCTGGCCTCCTTTGACTCCCTGTGCTCCCCTGCCCTCTACCCCCTTCCATGCCCCCAGCACCCTCCAATACCCCCAGACCCCTCCCTAATCCCCCCCAGGGCTCGGAGCCCCTCTTTGTGTGTGCCACGAGTGGCACCACTGTCCTGGGCGCCTTCGACCCGCTGGACGCCATCGCCGACGTCTGTGCCCGCCACGGGCTGTGGCTGCATGTGGATGTGAGTTCGGGGTGCTTGGCTGGGGGGGCTTGGGGGTCCCCCTGTGCGTTCTGATCCCCCTTTTCCTGCAGGCAGCATGGGGGGGCAGCGCCCTCCTGTCCCCCCGACTGCGTCATCTCCTTGCCGGCATCCACAGGTGTGTCCCTCCCCCTACCCCCGCAAAAGACTCCCACCTGCCCTCTGAGCTTTTGGGGATACCCTTTTTCCCCAGAGGGCCCCGCCAAACTCTGCTGTTCCCCCCCACCAGAGCTGACTCAGTGACCTGGAACCCCCACAAGCTGTTGATGGTGGGGTTGCAGTGCTCAGCATTCCTGCTCCGTGACAGCTCCGTAGGTGCCCCCCATCCTGAATTTGTGCCCCTAGGATGCCTCCTGGGTCCCCCTCATTAATTTTGGTGCCCCCTGCCCATCCCAGGGCCTCCTGCAGCGCTGCCATGGCGTGGGGGCCTCATACCTGTTCCAGCGGGACAAGTTCTACGACGTGTCCCTGGACACAGGGGACAAGAGCCCTCAGTGCGGCCGCCGCGCCGACGGCCTCAAGCTCTGGATCCTCTGGAAAGCCGTGGGGACCCAGGGGCTGGCACAGCGTGTGGAGCGGGCGTTCGGTGCCTCTCGGTGAGCCCCAGGATCAGGGGGAACCCTCCATCCTCCCAAACTTGGCTTCACCCCTTTGCTGTCCCCAGGTATCTGTTGGAGCAGGTGAAGAAGAGGGAGGGATTCCAGCTGGTGATGGAGGTAAGGGTGATGGTGGAATGGAGGATGGGGGATATGGACACCTAAGAGTCCTGGAGGTTGGAATGCCACAGGTTTAAATCATCCTGGAGCTTTAACTGCCTGGGGGTTAATCCCAAAGGTTTGAATCCCCAAAGTTGAAATTCCAGAGTTTTCAATCCCAGAGGCTTGAATTGTCCCAGAAGTTTAAGTCTTGGAGGTTTAAATCCCTGAGGACAAATCCCAGGGTTTTAAATCCCAGAATCTGAAATCCTGGAGTTTGGGATTCCACAGATTTAAATCACCCCAGGGATTGAAATCCCAGAGGTTGAAATCCTGGAGTTTAATCATCCTGGAAGTTTCCATTTTGGAGGTTTAAATCCTGGAGGATTAAATCCTGCACGTTCCAAACCCAGACAATTAAATACACATGGCTGAATTCCTGGAAGTGCGAATCCCTATCAGATTCTGGGAATTGGGTGAATGGTCATGATCTCCTTCCTCTTCCTGCAGCCAGAATTTATCAACCTCTGCTTCTGGTTCATCCCACCCAGCCTGCGGGGCCAGGAGAACTCCCCGCAATTCTGGGACAAACTGGGAAAGGTGAGCCCAGAATTCCAAATTCCCCCCACCACCAACAGCCTTGCAAATCCCCAGAAATCACCCAAAAAGAAAAACAAAATCCTCCTGAAATGGTGTTTCTCCCTAGGTGGCCCCAGCCATCAAGGAAAAGATGATCCGGAGGGGCTCCATGATGGTGGGATACCAACCCCAAGGATCCCACGTCAACTTCTTCCGGCAGATTATCACCAATCCTGCTGTCACCCGCCAGGACCTGGACTTCTTCCTGGATGAGATACAGGAATTGGGATGGGATCTGTGAGCAGTCCCAAAAACCTCAGTGAAAGACCCCAAAACCTTCCCCCCATCCTGGAGGTAGAGGAGCAGATCCTTGATTTCCTCCCCTCATCCCAAATTGGAAATGACCCCAAAACTCCACACTCATGGAATAAAATTCCATTTAATGGTCTTGATCTGATAATAATTTGATATAACCCCACCCTCAAAATAGGGTTTGGGGTGTAGGGGGTCCCATAATTCCCCTGGAAGCTCCAGAGGAGGTTGTGGATTCTGGGATCAGCATGTAGTGGCCTTGTGACTCTCCTGACATTCCCATGGCTTCTTGAAGTTCCAGAGGCTGGAATTTGTAGGGAAGAGGATCTGTTAGCACGCAAAAAACTCTTGGGAAAGTACTGCAAAACCTGCTGTGTCCATCCCTGAGGAAGTGGAGCAGAGCCTGGACTTCCTTCTGGGATCTTTAAATCAGGAGTAAAGATGGATGTTCTCGGCACTTGATCCTAAAACTCAGCACTCATTGAATAAAAGAGCATTTATTGGTCTCAATTTTATATGAATTTGATATCATACTCCCCTCCCCCAGGAAGGGAGTTTGGGGGCCCCTCAATTCCCCTGGAGGCTCCGGAGGAAGTTGAGGATTTCGGGATCAAGGCGGGCATCCTCAAGGCAGGCTAGGAGCTGGGATGCCGTGGCTTCCTCTCGCTGACGCCGCTGCCAATCCCGCAGCATCTCGAAACTCCACATAGTGGAATTGTTTGGATTTTCCTCCTGGATCTGGTCCAGCCGGCTCTGCTTCAGCCCTAGATGCAGAATTCCCACCTCCTGCCACTCTTTTCCCAATCTTTTGGCGACTCTCATCAAATCCTTCTCTGTCAAGCGTCGGGGATTTATGGGTGGAGCTGGAATCCCTCCAGGATGCTGTCCTGAAGTGGGATTCCTGGTCCCGTTGAGGGTGTCCCTATTAGGTTCCCTGGGGTTTTCCTCGGGGATTTTCTCTTCCAGGGGCAGCTGGAAGCGCTGGATGAGGTCGGGGCGGCCAATCTGCTGCAGGATCCTGGCGATCTCACGCAGGAAATTCTCCGGGAAGCGCTCGAGGAGGATCTGGCACAACTCAGGGCGCGATGCCTGGCGCACAAGCCCAGCAGGAATTTTGCTTTCCAGTAGGTACTTCAGGTTCTGGAATTGTTCTTCCGAGAGCGCCTGGTGCACCTCCAGCAGCGTTGCCCGCTCGTCTCTCGCCATCGGGGCAGAAAATCCCACAGGGAAATGGGGTCACTGCTGGGACACAAGGTCTGAGCTAGAGGAATGACCACGCAGCCCACAGAGTGGCGGACAAAGGGGCCACCCCTGGGCCCAAAAAATTCGGGGTGTGGGTGGAAAGGGGCCACGCTGTGCTCCATAAATTGGGGGTAGATGGGTCACCGCCCGCCCCGAGGGCTTTCCTGGTGCCCCCGTTATCCTCTTTAGAGGGACGCTAGGGGCTGAACCCTGCCAGCGTCCCCCTAGAGCACCCCACCCTGCCCTGGGCCTGAGACCGCCGAGTCTCCCCACAGTGGCCCCCTAACCCTGGGGCTGGGACCTCCAGCGTCACCCCAATGCCCCCACTCCTTCCTGGCTCCTCCCGATGTCCCCGCCGTGTGCCAGGTGCCCTTTCTTCCGGGTCCCCACGATCTCGCGGCGCCCTCGGTACTTCCCTAGTCCGGATTCGCACCGTTCTCTCCCTCAAGCCTCTCGTTCTCCCCCCGCCACCGCCCCGCTCTCACCGTGCTCTTCCCGCCGCCACCCCGCTCTCACTGCGCTCTGTTCCCGCCACAGCCCCGCTCTCACTGCGCTCTGTTCCCGCCACAGCCCCGCTCTCACCGCGCTCTGTTCCCGCCACCTTTGTTCCGTGTGTGAGGAGCGGAAGCGCGGCCTCCTGTCCCGCCAGCAGTTGCCGCGGCAACGCAGCGCGGCCGCTTTGAGCGGAGGGGGCGCGTCCTGCCCGGGGCGCGTCCTGCCCGGGGACGGCCTGGGGCCGTCCCGAGCGGAGTCCGCAGCGTCGTTTGGGCGCTCCGGGGCGGTTCAGGGGTGCTGGGAGTGAATTTTGGGCTCAGTGTCCAGTCCCGAGTGCCCCAAGTACTTCCATTATCTTTCAATAATCCTCCATCCCCCCAGTGCTTCAGTCACTTCCAGTACCGCCAGTAACATCTAATCCCTCAAACCCCCAGTATTCTCCAGTTCCCCAGTCTCTCCCGTAAACCCCCAGTCCCCTGGTACGCCCAGTCCCCCAAGTCTTTCCAACGGTCCAGTCCCCCCAGTATTCTCCAGCCCCTCCATTCCCCCAGTTCCTCCCAGTAACCCTGAGTAAGCCCTCAGTAGTCCCTGCAATTCCTTAGTCCCTCCAGTAACCCCCAACTCACCCCAGTCCACCGCAGTCCTCCAGCACCCTCCAGTGGTCCCCAGGCGCACTAGTGTCGCCCCAATTTCCCAGTTTCCCCAGCTCCCCAGTTTCCCAGTCTGCCCAGTATTCCCCAATCCCCCCAGTTACCCCCAGTTCCCACAGAATCCCCCAATTCCCCATTCTCTCCATTATCCCTGACACCCCAGTGTCCCCCAGGGTCCGCAGTCACCCCAGTGTATCCCAATCCCCCCAGTCAGTAGTCCCCATATCCCCGTGTATCCCCCACACCCCCCAGCGCCTCCAAAGTGTCCCCCCAGTGTCTCCCCCAGCCAGGCTGACCTGGCCACCCCTTCCCCGACTGCCCCAAGTCCATCCCACCACCGATGGTGGGAGGGTCCGTATTGTTCCTCCCTCTTTTTTTTTTTTTTTTTTTTTTTGGTGGGATGTTGGCTCCCTCCCGGGGCCGGGCTTCGTGGGGGTCGCCCTGGGCGGATTTGGGGGTGTCGGAGGCCTCCCGCCCCCAGCACGCTGCGGCACTGGCGGCCGCGCGGGAGCGCTTCCCTTCGCCCGGCCTCGTCCGGTGCCCCTGAGCCCCCCGGGCTCCCCAACAGCGGTGGGTGCCACCGGGGACATCCCCCCCAAACGGAGATTGGGCAATTCCCTTCGCTCCCGCCGTGTCCTTTCTTTTTTCCGCTTCCCCTTCCGAGAGTTCACCCGCGATTGCTGAGTTGCGGGAGGAGGGGCGAGAGGGAGCGACGCCCCCCCCCCAGATACAGGGGTTCCTCCATGGGGGAATGGGAGGGGCTGTGGGGTGGGACGAGGGCAGTGCCATCATGTCACTGTGTGTGTGACCCCAGCGTCAGGAGAGGCACGGAGGGGCTTCGGGCAGACCGAACCCTCCCTTGGGGGCGGCAGCGGGCCCCCCGTGGGGTGTCCTCGGGTCACCCCAGTTCTCTCCCTGCCCCCTCTCTCCCCCCCGGCAGGGTCCTTCCGTCCCGGGGACGGCGGCAGTGGACGCTGGGGGGGGGGGGTCGGCCCCCCGAGACTCCCCCGGCCCCACGGATGCCCGGGAAACCACACTGCTCGAGGCCCCCCCACAGATGAGACCTCTCCACCTCCTGCCAAAGAGGCCTCTGGCCACGGTAAGAGGTTCTGAGGGGGCCCCCTGGAATGGTGGAGGGGGAGTGGGTGCTTTTTCTGGGCTCCCTTAGGGACCTGCAATGGGGGAGACCCTGCCCTTGTGGTACAGGGAGACCTCAAACCTCAGGGAGGGACCCGGGTCTCGGGTGGCCCCAGGGATTGGGGGGGTTGTGGTCCCACAGTGTGGAGGGACCCCGATCCCAGAGTATGGAGGTGACCCCATCCCAGGGTAAGGGAATCTTGGGGATGTTGGGGTGGCCCATTCCCATGGCACAGGGGTACCTCAATTCCAGGGTAAGGGGGGACAGAGATGTGACAGTATCCTGCACCCACCGTGTGGGGGTACATCAGTTCCAAGGTATTCCCCTTTTCCATGCCCCAGGATATAGGGGTGTCACATTCCTGTGGCCTGGAGGTACGCCAGTTCCAGGGTCTGGGGGTGCTCCAGGGATGCGGAGGTGTCCCAGTCCTATCGAATGGGGTACCCTGATCCTGGAGTTTGGGGGTTCCTCAATCCCAGGATATGGGAATCTCAGGAATGTGGGGTTGTCCTATACCCATGGTTTAGGGTGCCCTGTTCCCATGGTATGGGACTGTGGCAATTTCAGGGTAAGATGGTGCCCTGATCCCACAGCCCAGGGAGCCACAGTCCTGGGGTGCAGCGATGTCTCGTTCCCATGGAATGGGGGTGTCCCAGGGTTGGGGTACAGGGATGTCCTATTCACATGGAATGGGGTACCCCAATCCCAGGGCATGGGGGTGCCCTGATCCCAGGATATGGCAGCACCACAGTCCCAGAGTTAAACGTCAGTATCACCTGATTTGAGGGTGCAGGGTTCTAATCTCATGGCATGGGAATGCCCTAATATTAGGATGCAGGGATGTCCCAATCCCATGGGATGGGAATGTCCTGATTTTGGGGTGTGAGAATGTCCTAGTCTCACGTATTGGGATGTCCCAGTGTTGAGGTGCAGGGTTACCCCAAAGCCATGGCATGAGGGTGTCCTGATTTTGGGGTACAGGGGATTTTTCTGGGTACCCCAAGTTCATCCCTGTGTTCCAGAGGGATTTTGTCTGTTCCAGTCCCTGTCCCCCCTTGCACCCCAATCCCAGATCCTTGTCTATGTGCAGTGGGGAGCTGGGGGAAGTGAACTCTGGCTTTGGAATACGATAGGGATAGGGGTAGGAAAAGGGAGGGAGGAGGTGGCAACCGGGATGGGGAAGAGGGAAAAGGGATGGAGAAGGCTCAGAGGAGGTGGAGAAGGGGAAGAGGGGATGGAGAATGTGAAGAGGGGGTGGAGCAGATAAGGATGGGAAAAGGAAAGAGAAAAGAGGATGGGAAAAAGGGAAGAGGAGCTGGAGAAAGGTGAGAAAGAGGATGGGTAAAGGACAGTGGGAATAGAACAGGTACAAATAGGATGGAGAATGTGGGAAAGGAAAGGAAAAGGGGAAGAGAGGATGGAAAATGGAAAGAAGGATGAAGGTACCAGTGGGACCAAGCTGAGACAGAGGGCCTGGAGCAGGTGCCAGTTGGAAAGGAAGGGCAGGTATCATTGGGATGGAGCAGGCGGCAAGGGGCCCCAGCTCCTGTCCTTGCCCTACCAGTGCCCACCCTCCTCTTGCACAGCCCATCCTGGCCCGGCCCGGCAATGTCGGAAGCCCCCCAGGCCCCCTGTGGGGGGACCAAGTCCCCTGAAGGAGCTGCTGAGGCCAGAAGGGGCCGGGCTGCACCCCGCTCTCTGCGGGGAATGTGGGAAGGGCTTCAGCTGGAGCTCGGGCCTGGCATGGCACCGCATCACCCTCACTGGGGCACGACCATTCACCTGCAGCGCCTGCGGGAAGGGCTTCAGCCAGAATTCCAACCTTGCCACGCACCGGTGCATCCACGCCGGGGAGAAGCCCTTCGGCTGCCGGGACTGCGGGAAGCGCTGCGGGGAGAGCTCGGCGCTGGTGCAGCACCGGCGGATGCACACCTGGGAGCGGCCGTGCACATGCAGGGAATGCAGGAAGAGCTTCAGCGTCGGCTCCAACCTGCGACAACACTACCGTACCCATGGCCGAGAGTGGCTCCACCTCTGCCCTGAGTGCGGGAACTTTCTGGAACCCTGGCCAGCTCTGGAGTCACCGCATGAGGCATGGGTACAGTGACGCCTGGAGGGGCATCAGGACAGCTGGATGGGTTGGGACACATGAATGGCGATAGTGCCATCGTGATGGGGACACTAGGATGAGGATGGGGAGGAGGGGATGGGATGGGAACAAGGATGGAGATGTGTTGGTTTGGCACAGCCTAGTTTTTGGTGGGGGGGCGGGTGGTGCCACAGGTGTGGCTTCTATGAGAAGCACCTGGAAGCTTCCACCATGTCTGACATAGCCAATCTCTGATGACTGTGAAGATGGACGTGCTGCTGGCCCAATTAGAGAGGTTGGTAACACCTCTGTGATGACATATTTAAGAAGAAAATCAAAACCGTGTTTGCACAGCTTTTTCCCGGGGTGGCGAAGCCCTGCTGCCGGGGCCATCCTCGTGCAGCCTGCAGCGATGCGCTGCAGCCACCGCCATCTCAGCAAGGCCTGCGGCGAGCCTTGCCTGCCCGGCTGCCCCGAGCCAGCTGCACTGCTGGTGGAAAGGGCAGGGACAGTGGCAGCAGCGTCCCCTTCCCAGCACCCCGCACGAGGAGAGGCATTAAATAGCGCCAGCACCGTGGCGGCCGCCACTGCCCTGCAATGGCAGCAGGGCTGTATGGCCAACAGTGGAAGCACAATGAGAAGCTCCCTGATGCAGAACCTAGACAAAATCAACATAGTGCTGTGGGATCCTGCAGGAATCTTCGGACTGGTGGAACTTGTTGGCACTGGTACTGGGATTTCGGGTTCACTGGAAATGAAGGGCACTGGGAATGGGTGTGGGGACACAGGACATGGGGGACACCAAACACTGGTGGGAGAACACACTGCAAGTAATGGGGGGACACTAGGGACAGGTGGGCTGTACACTGGGGACAGGGGGGACAATGAGAATAAGTTTGGGGACCCTGGGAATGGGTGGGGGCTACACTGGGAATGGGTTGTGGGGACACTGGGAGTGGGAGGCCATATGGGGTCACCACAGATCTTCCCACAGATCCGGGGACACAGTCCTAACCCTTCCCCCTGTCCCCAGAACCCTTCCCGAGTCCTGGACTTTGCTCCTTGCCCCTGGCGATGTGACCAGAGGAAAATTCCATCCTGGGGAGGGAAGAGAGAGGAGCTGGGAAAGCCTGATCCAGGAGAGCCTGGTCCCAGGAAAAGCTTCTCCTGGCAGCACCTAATTCAAGGATCACCTGGTCCCAGAATCATCTAATCCCAGGAGAACCTGTTCCTGGCAGCACCTGATCTTGGAAAATTGCAGCTGGCAGAGGTGAGAGGAGAGGTGAGTCCAGAGAGCCTGATGCCCGGAGAAACCCATCCTGGGAACACCTAATATTGCGATCATCCTGTTACAGAACTACGTCATTCCAGAAGAACATCATTCTGGAATTGCCGTATCCCTGGAGAATTTCATCCTGAGAGAGCCTTATTCCAGCACCACCTCATTGCAGGGGGAAACTCAGCCTGGGATCATCTTATTGCAGGAGATCCTTATCCCACAATCACCTCGTTCTGGGATCACCTTATCCCAGGAGATCCTTGTCCCAGGATCATTTTATCCCAAGGTTATTTCCTTCCAGGAGAAGCTCATCCTGGGATCCCCCACTCCTGCCACCTGCTGCCAATTCCAGGGTCCCTCCCGCTGCACTTCGGGGTCTCCCTGTGTTCTCCTGCCATGGCTGAGCCCTCTGGGGCTGGGGACAGCATCCCATTGGAATGCCCTGGCCTGGACACGGCCGCTGGGGAGGAATTCCTGCAGGAAGTGTTCCAGATCCTGCTGGAGGAGGGCGTGCGGAAGAGCACAGATGTGACACAGAAGGTTGGGACACTGGGGCACTTGGGAGGGAGGGTCTCCAGTTCCATTGCATCCTATTCCTGTTTCCAGTACCATTCTCAATCCTAATCCCATTCCTGTCCCCACAGGTAGATGAGTGGAAGGAGCCCCCTGGGAGGGGATGGGGTTCCCGATTTGTCCCTATTGCTTGTCCTGTTCCCAGGCATTCCCTGTCCCAGTCCGTATCCCATTCTTATTCCCAGTCATTCCCAATCCTATTCCCAGTCATTCCCAGGCATGTGACTGGAAGCAGACATGGAAGGGGGTGAGGGTCACAATATTGCTCCTTTCCCAGTCCTATTCCCATTCTGAAACCTAGTTCCAGTCCCATTCCCAATCCTGTTCCTAATACAAGTCCCGCTTCCAGCCCTGTTCCAACAGCTAGTCCCATTCCCAATCCCATTCTCAGTCCCGTTCGCGTTTCCAGTCCTGTTCCCATTCTGAGTCCCCTTCCCAATCTTATACTCGGAACAGGACTGGGAGTGGCACTGGGGTTGGGAATGAGAGTAAGTCCCAGTTGCAGTGTCATTCTCATTTCCAGTCTTGTTCCCCATCTTGTTTCCATTTCTAGTCCTATTTGCAGTCCCACTTCCAGCCCCATTCTCATTCCCATTCCCCATTCTGTTTGCAGTTCTGGTGCCAGTCCCATTCCCATTCTGGTTCCTGGTTCCAGTCCCATTCCCATTCTCAACATCATTCCCAGCCCATTCGCCCTGCGGTTCCCAGTCCCGTTCCCAGTCTCGTTCCCAGTCATTCCCAGTGCTTTCCCAGGTGTGTGACTGGAAGGAGCCGCAGGAGCTGCGGGACCTGCTGGATCTGGAGCTGCGGAGCGACGGGGAGGGGCGGGAGCAGCTCCTGCAGCGCTGCCGGGATGTGCTGCGCTTCAGCGTCCGCACCGGTGCGCTCCCAGTACACACCAGTGCACACCAGTACAACCCCAGGGCAGGCCCAGTGCCTCCCAGTTTAGCCCTGCACAAACTGCGTTGGGCATGGCAGCTCTCACTTCGGCCCAGCGGTTCCCAGTGTGGCCCCTGGTGCCTCGCAGTCTCAAACATTGTGGCCCCTGCCATGTTCCCCTCCATGTCTCTCTCCCCTGTTATAAATGGTGTTCAATTTGTGTTGAATTTGGGCTGGGTTGGAATTGCTCTTTTGGGGTGATTTGATGGGTGTTTGTTGTGGGTCCTGGGGAGGGCATGTCCAGGGTTTGGTGGGGGTGATAGTCGAAGGGAGGCAGGAGGTGATTGGACAGGGGACTTGACCAATCATTAGATGCCCCAAGAAAATGATTGGTCCAGAATGAATATCGATATGGACCAATGAGAACACCAGAAAATGACCAATCAACACACGGATCTTTCTGAGGGACCTACTTTTTTTGGGGAGAACTCAGCGTGTTTGGGAGACATTGTTATCTTTGGGTTGTTGCATGGGAGTTTGGGCTTATGTCAAACTCCTGCCCTCTGTGGTTTGTTTTAATGAACGAGAGCCTTTTTCCTTCTCAAAATCTGGCCTCGTTCGAATTTATAACATCCTTTGGGGACTCATCAGGGATAGCCCACGCCCCAAACTGGTCCGGGGTAGCTCAGGACCTGGGAGATACGTCCAGCCACCTTTTTTGGCTGCCAGAGATTTGACTACGTCGGATTGCGGAAGGGATTGCTGCCTATACCCAAGGCTGCAGAGGACACAACAACCCAAAAAGGTGAGAGCCCTTCGAGAGGGAGTGGGCCTCATACTGCCTCTGAGCAGTGCGAGTGGGGTTTAAGGTGCGAGGGGGTGCAAAGTGAATGTGTGTGATTGAGACAGGGACTGTGAGCACAGACTCCCGAAGCAAGTGTGTGGGGGAAGTGTGTGTTACAGTCATTGAGTGAGTGTACCTCTAGGGACCCCTAGAGTAGGGGAGACGAGGAGTACCCTCGTCTAGCCACCCTTACCTGCTCAGGCTCCCATTCCTCCAGTGAGTGGAGGCTCCAAGGGGTGATTTGGGCCCTTGGCCCTGAGTAGGGCGGTGTTAGTGGGCTGGACTGCCCAGAGTAAGGGGCAGAAGCTCTGACCACTAGCCCAAATCACCTGGAGGGTTGTTCCTCAGAGATAGAGCAGGGGAGTCTAGTCTCTGAGGAACTAGGACCTTAGGGGTGGGAGAAAAACTCCTATACAGAGACTGCCAGACACAGTAGCCACTGTATAGGGGAGTGCCCCTTTCTGAAACAGGGGAAGGGGAGGCTGCCCAGCCTAAGAGAGTTAGGGAGCCCTCGAGCTAGGATCCCATTGAGGGGGTTGCAGAGGGGGACAGACTCAGGACCCTAAGCTGGGATCCCATCAGGGGGTCGTAGGGGTAACTGAGGGGCCTAAACTTCACAGGTGCACTGACCCTCAAGCAGGCAGGTGGGCCACCAGCTATGGAAGGGCCCTTTCAGCCACTAGGGCTGAAGGGGATGTTAGAACCTGTCTAAGCTAGGGAAAAATTCAAGAGGCAGAGCCTCTCCGGTGGAAGCCCTTTGTACATGAGTTGTCGAGATCTCTGCAGAGTGAGGTTTGGAGGTGAGGACAAGCTGAAAGTCCTCCGACTGCTACTCAGGGAGAGCAAGTATAAGACCCCGCTACGGCCATTTTGTATTTGGTTGAGCGGGCGGTTCATTTCACTGTAGCCATTTTGTCTTTTGTTGAGCAAGTGGCTCGCTGTGGTCATTTGGTATTCGGGTGAGCAGGTGGATTGTTTCAGAGTGGCCATTTTGTCTTCTGTTGAGTAAGTGGCTTGCTGTGTCTATTTTGTATTTGGTTGTGCAAGTGGTTGTAAGTTGCTTCATTTCTTGAAATAGCCATTGTTATTGTTTAGTTTTCCAGCTAAGACAATAGCTATTACATTTCTTTTTGGAATTAATTTGGACATTTCACTATTCTTAGGTTATAAATGTTCATTTCAATTGACATTTTTATTCTGAAACCCTTGTTAAACCGCAATATTTATTTTGTTTCCCATACTAAATATTTCTTTGAGTCACCATTTTTTTGTTGTGTTTCCCACCAAAGCTACCACATTTATTTTGTTTCCCAGGTCAAACATTTCTTTAAAAGTTGCCATCTTTGTCTTGTCTCTTACGATAAGGAACTTTTTAAAGTAACCGTTATTAATACATTTTCCACAATAATTAATATTTATTTTCTCTTCCTCATGAATAACTAATACTTATCCCTTATTAAAAAAATTAAAATAAATAAATAAATTCAAATAAATAATTAACAAAATAATATTTTTTTAAAAAATTGTAATTGGATACCAATTGCTAGTTAAAGATGGGACAGTGTGCTGGAAAAAGTGCCAGCAGGAAGAGAAAAGGGAAGGAAGTTTTTAACTAAATACCTCCTAGTAGTCCTTTAGGTGAACTTTTAATAAACTGGGATACTAATGAGGGAATGAAGGATCTAGATAAAATAAAAATGATGAGATACTGTACAGAAATATGGCCTAAAGAGGGTATTGCTGAAGGACCTGTCCTGGTATGGGACAAAAGAAAGATGGCTATGTACAGCTTTAAATAGATATGTCAATACCTGGCTAGAACCTTGCGAGGAAGAGATTAGTTATGCTAAATGTTGGTTAGAAAGGGAGAAACAGGAAGAGGAAATAAAAGGATATAAGGTATCCAGAGAAGAAGAAAAAGAAGAAACTAAGCTACCAGAAAGGAGGTGGGATCCTTTAGACCATCTTCCTCTGCCTCCCCCTCCTGATCCCTTAGATTACCTCCCGTTACCTCCTCCTCCGACTCCTCCTATAGACCACCTTCCTCCTCCCCCTCCAACCTTGTACCCCCTCAGTACCATCTCATGAGGTGGATGCAATTTCAGGATCTACTCCCACAGGAGTTTTAAAATCACCTCAACGTTTTAATTCAAGTTGTCCTGCTCCCAGCATCCCCTCTTCTGTATCATCTCCTTTCCCAAATATACCAGAACCTGCCCATTCTAGTACTCCTTCAGTTTTGCAGATTCCCTCCAGTTCCTCAAGTACCCAGACACCAGTCTCTAGTACCACTCAGAGTGTCCATACCCCAATCTTGGCTCCCAAAACTTTCCAAAATACCCCTCTTTATTTTTCCTCCATATTTCAACCCACAACCCAAAGTACCTCTTCCTCTATTCTTATTTCTGGAACATAACAAAACATTCCTTTTTGTTTATCCCCCATACCCCAACATACTGAGAGTCAAAAGCAGGAGGAAAGTTTGCGAACAAAAGGTCAGGGAGTTAAAAGGGCCTGTTGTTGTAAAGATATAGAGGAAAAGAAGTTAATTGAACCAGATAAGCATGTAGAAAGCCATCAATATAATACAAGGTTCCAAGCAAAGAAAATTCAAGATGAAGGTGGGAGAATTGAAAAGTTGTTTCCTCTAAGGGAAGTGCCTATGGGGAGGACCAGAGGTGGTATTGGTTTTGTGAATGCCCCATTCATGGCCTCTGAGGTTAGAAATTTTAAGAAAGAAATTAAACCTTTATTAGAAGATCCCATAGGCATCTCACAGCAACTACCCAATACCCAGTGGTAGCCAACCCATACAATTTATTAAGCAAAGTACCATCAAAACATGCATGGTTTAGTGTTATAGATCTGAAAGATGCTTTTTGGTCCTGCCCACTTGAAAAAGAAAGTAGAAAATGGTTTGCATATGAATGGGAGGATGAGGAAACTGGGAGGAAACAACAGCTGCAATGGACAAGTTTACCTCAGAGATTCACAGAGTCACCAAATTTGTTTGGCCAAACTCTAGAAGAAATCATAAAACAATTTACACCCGAAGGAAATTCCCAGGTTCTACAGTATGTAGATGATTTGTTGATTTCTGGGGAACAAAAAGAGGAAGTACAAGCAACAATGGCTAATCTACTGAACTTCCTGGGGGGGAAAGGGTTAAAAGTACCCAAAAAGAAGTTAAAATTTGTTGAACCTGAAGTAAAATATCTGGGTCACATAATTGGGAAAGGATACAAGAAATTAGATGCTGATTGAATTCAGGGCATGCTATCCTTACCAGCACCTAAAACAAAAACAGATGTAAGGAAATTACTTGGATTAACTGGATACTGTAAATTATGGATAGATGGACACACAAAGTTAGTTAAATTCCTATATAACAAATTGGTTGAAGATGAGCCTATAAATTGGAGTGAAGATGATGAGAAGCAGCTGGAAGAATTAAAGGAAAAATTAGCAAATGCCCCAATGTTAAGTTTACTGGATTTAAATAGACTGTTTGAACTGTTTGCTAATGTAGAAGAAGGAATAGCTTATGGTGTCGTTGTACAAGAATGGTGTGGAGTGCGGAAGCCCATTGCCCACATCTCAAAATTATCAGACCCGGTTGTCAGAGGTTGGCCTATTGTGGAAGAATGGCTGGATAAACAGGGCCATGGGTCACTTGAAATGTTGTACAAGCAAACCCCATGTTAGCTTGACATAACTAGGCTGCACGCCATGATAAGGAAATTGCAAAGTATGCTGTGTTATGCTGACAAGGTCGAAAGGGCAAGGACAGCAGCAAAAATGAAGAAGAAAAGAGGTTTTGCAATATAAAAATAGAAAGTAAAAGCATTGAGAATGAGGAAGAACCCTGTGTTAGAATCCAAAAAGGAAGAGGAGTATGTAATGTAACTTTTTGCTTTAAACCAATGAACTAATGATGAGTACGCATAATTACTAGAAACATATAAAAGTACCGTTGTACTCAAAATAAGCTGAAGCTTGCTTTACCAATCATATTAACTGATTGCTTGTCTTCCCTCGCCGCTGTCAGCCTGCTTGTCTCCAAGCGGTAGCTGCCACTGTAGTTCTCCTAGAAGAAGGTTACAGGTTAACATTAGGTAACAAAATCAAGGTATATACTCCCCATGATTTAAAGAGTATCGTAAGTAGAAGAGCATGTCAGTGGATTTCAGATAGTAGACTTTTAAAGTATGAATTGATTTTAAACAACAGTGAAAATATAGAATTAGCTACAACAAGAATTCAGAACCCCGTGCAGTTCTTATATGGAGAACCAAAGGAAGAATTGCAACATCACTGTCTCGAAACTATAGATTTACAGATAAAAGTCAGAGAGGATCTATTAGAACAACCTTTGTCTGAGGGAGAAATACTTTTTATAGATGGTTCATCACAAGTAGTTGATGGGAAAAGAGTATCAGGATATGCCATAGTAGACGGATATACAATGACAGTTGTGGAAAAAGGAAAGCTTCCTGTGAATTGGTCTGCAGAGTGTTGTGAGATTTATGCACTATTAAAAGGACTGAAATGGTTGGACAAAAAGAATGGCACTATATTCACTGATTCTAAATATGCTTATGGGGTAGTACATACCTTTGGGAAAATCTGGGCGGAGAGAGGATTTGTTAACTCAAAAGGAAAAACCTTGATTCATGAAGGCCTCATAAGAGCAGTGCTAGAAGCTTTGAAAGGGCCTAAAGAAATTGCAGTGGTGCATACAAAAGGACACCAAAAAGGTGACACTAGAGAAATAAAAGGGAACAACTTGGCAGATATAACTGCAAAGAGGGCCACAGTGGAGAATTCAGAAAAGATCCTCAAACTAAATGAAATCGGAGATGAGAATGATGATGATGATAGAGGAAAGGAGGAGATCCCTATATTTAATGAAAAAGAACAAGAAGAGTTACTAAAACATGGTGCGGACCAAAATGAAAAAGGAGAATGGAGGATGCCAGAGGGTCAACAAGTATTAAACAAAGCATTAACTAGGAAGATATTAGAGGACATACGTCTCAATCCATCAGCGCACTCAAGCTTTGTGCGATCATTTTATGAGAACTTATGTATGTATCGGGGTATGGGAAATTGCCAAAATAATAACCAGAGAATGTATGATATGCCAGAAGATAAATAGAAAAGTAATGAGAAAATTACCTCAAGGGGGAAGCGAGCTAGAAAAAAGACCTTTTCAATGTATACAAACAGACTTTACAGAATTACCACAGGTACAAAGGTATAAGTATTTACAAGTAATGATAGACCATCTAACTCATTGGGTGCAGGTATATCCAACAATGAAAGGAACTGCAGAGACTGTAAGCAAAATTTTATTAGAACAAATCATACCCCGATATGGAATAATTAATACTATTGACTCCAATAGAGGTCCTCTTTACAGCTAAGATATTACAACAACTAATGAATGCTCTAAATATCATCTGGAAATTTCATACTCCATGGAGACCCCAAAGTTCTGGGAGGGTAGAAAGAATGAATCAGATTCTTAAGATAACTCTTACAAAATTAACAGAAGAAACAAAGAAGAATTGGTTGAAATGTCTCCCTCTGGCACTAATGAGGATAAGGACTAAACCAAGGGCAAATATAGGAGTGTCACCATATGAAATTATGTTTTGTTTACCATTCTTAACAACTTCAGGAAATGTGGGAACATATGAAGAAGGAGAATGGGGTGTGAGAAAATATATCAAGACTACAACATGCACTTTAGAAGAATTATGGGATATCTTCCTCAAGCTACTCCCATTGATTTCAAAATCCACAAATTCCAACCTGGTGACTGGGTATTTATCAAGACCTGGAGAGAACAACCATTAATCCCAAAGTGGGAAGGTCCATTTCAAGTTTTACTGATCACTGAAACAGTTATTCAAGCACAGGAACAGGATGGACACTTGTCACCCGAGTGAAAGGGCCAGTTTCAGCACCCGAGGGGCTATCTCTGACCTTAGCTAAGTAACACCAAGCTGATTCTAAGGAAGAAGACATCAGAAACACCATAAGAAGACACATGAGTTATGAGTTATAATTGAACTTTGTTAGATTTATTGTAAAATACCTAATTGAAAGTTTGTAACTTTTTTTTTCTCTATTTTGGGGGGGGTGAAATTATATGAGTTTTCAAGGAAGTGTTTTAATCTCTGGTATCTATTAATACAGACCCTGAGATCCAGGAAAAGATAGAGCATTCTCCCATGCATCTAGCAATCTGCCCCTAAAAGACGGAAGGAACAGGTTGATACAAAAGGAAAGGTAGACTCCTGCAGCAGCAGTTGGTAAGAATCTCACAGAAATAACAAGGAAAGTGCGGGCAAGACTGGATCAGGTTATATTCTTACCACAGAGTCGCTGATCCTCTGTGGAGGGGAGACATGGTTGGGAGAGTAGCTTGTACCGGACCCCCACTGCCATTTGAGAAATGCCACTATCCTCTGTGTGCAGGAGATTCTTGGACTGCTGTCCTTAGAACCCGCACGAATCCAAGTCCCAATTGCTTCAACTTTTTTGTCATTCACCACCTGTATAGAAGATGGAAAAACATATTTGCTACATGAAAATATAGGGAATATCAAACAGAAGTTAATGGGGGAATGCCCTGTGAAAGAAAAATTAATCTGTTCAGAAAAGAGACTGATTGAAGGAAAGATAAGACATGGGGTTTATGAACCATGTTTAATGAAAGAAAGCTGCTACTAGAAGAAAATTGAGTGGAAATAGCGGAGAACTCAGAGATTGCCAAGTCAGCCCCTGAGATGTACAAGCAATACCAGAAATTGAGACAACTATACACCATTGAAGAAGAAACTAATTAAGAAAATGTTGGACATGGTGATGCGGGCTAAAGCCCGATCAAAGTTTTAGGGGGGAAGTTGTTATAAATGGTGTTCAATTTGTGTTGAATTTGGGCTGGGTTGGAATTGCTGTTTTGGGGTGATTTGATGGGTGTTTGTTGTGGGTCCTGGGGAGGGCAGGTCCAGGGTTTGGTGGGGGTGATAGTCGAAGGGGGGCAGGAGGTGAATGAACAGGGGACTTGACCAATCATTAGATGCCCCAAGAAAATGACTGGTCCAGAATGAATATTGATATGGACCAATGAGAACACGGGAAAACAATCAATCAACGTGCAGATCCAAAACCCACCAATCCTGGACCTGAGAGAGGTTATAAAGTGAGGGTTTCGGTTGGGTTTGGGGTGGTTCTCCTTCTGAGGGACCTACTTTTGGGGGGGAACCCAGCGTGTTTGGGACACGTTATCTTTGGGTTGTTGCATGGGAGTTTGGGCTTATGTCAAACTCCCTGTCCTCTGTAGTTTGTTTTAATAAACGAGAGCCTTTTTCCTTCTCAAAATCTGGCCTCGTTCAAGCTCATAACACCCCAGTCTTCTGCATCTCGCTTGACTGCCCCCATGCCCCCCCATTTCCCCCTGCATCCACTCCCTGACCCCCCTCATGTACCCCCAACCCCTTCCATGTCCCATCTGATCCCTCCCTACCCAACCCCAATCCTTCCTGTCCCCCCATCCTCCAGGTCCCTCTTGTGCATCCCCTGATTCCCCTATATCCCCCCTGCCCACCCATTTTCCCATTTCCTCACATCCCCTCATTCTGCCCTCTGTATCCTCCTCCTGTCTCCCCAGTCTCCTTCTGACCCTGCCATGACTCCTCTGAACCTCCCAGGTCCTCCCCTTATCTTCCCGTGTCTCACCCTCCACGTGCCATCCTTAACCCTCTCATGTTCCCCCCCATTTCCCCCTATCCCCTCCCATATCTCTCCCTGCCTCTCCCTGCCCCCCCGCCATGTCCTCCCCTGACCACCCTCTGTCCCCTCTGTGTTCCCCCAGGTCACCCCCTGTCGCGCATCCCGGCTGGATGGTGATGGGGGTGGGCTACAGTCCCCCTCTTTTGGGCTCCGCACTATCCCAGCTACCAGTGGAGGCACAGCGTGGAACAAAAGGGCCACAGCACGGGCCTGGGGTAGAACTCTGGGTAACGTTTTTAGATGGCAAAATCCCCCTCCCCAAGGTCCCAGGACCGCAAACAGGGGCAAACAACAGCTTACAAAGGGGGCAGGTCTCAGGGGAGGATAGAATCTCTAGCTAATCAGGAGAATTGGGGGTGGAACACAAGGTGGGGAATACAAGGTATATAAACCAATGAAGGACTTCAAGGGAAGGGAACAGTTTGGGATAGGAGGGGTTAACAACACGATGGGAGGGGACAGGGGTTTGAAACTTGGCCAGAAAATAGCTAAGTAACAAACAGATAAACCCACACCTGGCTCAATAAAATAACAAAGGCAGGTCTCTATCCCTGAACCCTGAACAAGGGTTCTGAACCCTAGTCGCTAATATCCTCATTCTAACCTTAGTAGGCAGTCAGCCAGTAGAACACCCATTCATCATCATGGGCCAACTAGCCTCATTCACCTACTTCACTCTAAAAACAGGAGGCAAAAAAACCCAAAAGGACCACCAAACCACAAATCAAGCAGTAAACATGCCAAATAGAAAATATACTACAATAACCCCCAGTTTTTCAACCAGCTTTTCTCGGGGCTGGACCACCACGCCCTCGCTGGCAGGTTCCTCACTGAAACCCTCAACACGAGCCCGTGAGCCCCCGACACTCCCAAAGGGGAGCTGGCGCGTGGGGAGACCCCTCAAAAAGCTGCCATGACCCTCCCCTCCCCCAGATCCACCTGCAAGGAGCCCCTAGTACTGATGGAGGGGGAGGTGCTGGCGGCAGGATTTTGGGCTGCTCAGGTTTGGAGGGAGGGTTTTGGGGGTGTTGAGGAGCCCAAATGAGATAGGACCTGCCAAAACCCTGTGCTGACTGCCCTGATCTAGCCCCCAGTCTTGGTGCTGATGGAGGGGAGCTTCCGCGGGGAGGGTTTTGGGGTGCTGAGGCTCTGGGGGAGTTGTTTGGGGTTCTGAGGTTTCAGGGGGAGGGGAACCCCCCCGACTGCTGCTGGGCCCTTCCAGGTACACATACGAAGTGGCCCCAGTGCTGGTGCTGATGGAGGAGCAGGTCCTGGCCAAGCTCCGGGAGCTCGTGGGGTGGAGCAGCGGCGATGGCATCTTCGCTCCCGGTATCCCGGACCCTTCCCGAGGGGTATCCCTGTTCCCCCTCTGCCCCTGGCAGCCTGTCCATGGTGCTCTGGGGGTGAAACGGAGGTCCCTGTCCTGGGCAGGGGGCTCTATGTCCAACATGTTGGCCATGAACGTGGCGCGATTCCGGCGTTTCCCGGAGAGCCGCAGCAGAGGGAACTGGGACCTGCCTCGCCTGGGCCTGTTTGCATCCCAGGAGGTGGGACTGGGGGCTCGAGGTCACCCCAAAACCTAATCCTCAGAGTCATCCCAATTCTAATCCATGGGGTGATTCCAAACCCTATTCCTGGGGTCACCCCAAAACCTGATTCCTGGAGTCATCCCAAATGTGGCCCCCTGAGGTCACACGAAACCTGATCCAAATGTCATCCCTGGGACCCCCACGAAACGTGATCCAGGGGCTCCCCTGGGGTCATCCCAAAACCCGATCCTGGTGTCGCCCCAAAGCTGATCCTTGGAGGTTGCCCTAAACCTGATCCATGGGGTCACTCCAAAACCTGGTGTCACTGAGGTGACCCCAAAACCTGGCCTCTGGGGTCACCCCAACTCTGGTCCCTGAGTTTACCCAAAATCTGGGGTTACCCCAAGTCTGGTCCCTGACGTGACCCCAGATCTGATTCCTGGGTTCCCCCCAATCTCGGTCCTGTTTTCCTGCCCAGAGCCATTACTCCATCCTAAAAGGAGCTGCTCTCCTGGGAATTGGCACGGACAATGTTCACCTGGTGCGGACAGATGAGAGGTGAGTGCTGGGAGGTCCCGAGGGACCCCAGGTCAGCGGATTCCTGCATGTATCCATCCCTATCCCTTCCCTTCAGGGGGAAGATGATCCCGGAAGAACTGGAGGAGGAGATCAAGAAGGTGAAAGCTGAGGTCAGGAGAGGCTGCACACCTCAAAGGCCCTCAAACTCCCCAATGCCTCCGCAGTATCCCCAACGGCCTTCCCAGTGTTCTCAAAGCTCCCTCAAAGTCTGTGTGTCCCCCTCTAAGTCCCCAAAGCCTCTCCAATGTTCCCAAAGCCCTTCCCATGTCCACAAACCACCCTCCATGTCCCCCAATGTCCCCCCAAAAACCCTGAATGTCTTCCAATGTCCCGCCACTGTCTCTTCAATTCTTCAATGCATCCAATGTCCTCTGTCCTCCCCAGACCTCCTGCCCTCCCATAAAGTCAGTTGCCTGGCTGCCCCAAAGCCCCCTGTAGCCCATTTCCTGCACCCCCAATGTCCCCCAGTATCCTCCAGCCGCCCACAGCTTTCCTCCTGAGCCCCCTCAAAGTCCCCCAAATGCCCACCCAGGGCTCAGAGCCCCTTCTTTTTCTGTGCCACCATCCTGGCCTCCTTTGACTCCATGTGCTCCCCGGACCTCTACCCCCTTCCATGCCCCCAGCACCCTCCAATACCCCCAGACCCCTCCCTAATCCCCCCCAGGGCTCGGAGCCCCTCTTTGTGTGTGCCACGAGTGGCACCACTGTCCTGGGCGCCTTCGACCCGCTGGACGCCATCGCTGACGTCTGTGCCCGCCACGGGCTGTGGCTGCATGTGGACGTGAGTTCGGGGTGCTTGGCTGGGGGGGCTTGGGGGTCCCCCTGTGCGTTCTGATCCCCCTTTTCCTGCAGGCAGCATGGGGGGGCAGCGCCCTCCTGTCCCCCCGACTGCGTCATCTCCTTGCCGGCATCCACAGGTGTGTCCCTCCCCCTACCCCCGCAAAAGACTCCCACCTGCCCTCTGAGCTTTTGGGGATACCCTTTTTCCCCAGAGGGCCCCGCCAAACTCTGCTGTTCCCCCCCACCAGAGCTGACTCAGTGACCTGGAACCCCCACAAGCTGTTGATGGTGGGGTTGCAGTGCTCAGCATTCCTGCTCCGTGACAGCTCCGTAGGTGCCCCCCATCCTGAATTTGTGCCCCTAGGATGCCTCCTGGGCCCCCTCGTTAATTTTGGTGCCCCCTGCCAATCCCAGGGGCTCCTGCAGTGCTGCCATGGCGTGGGGACCTCATACCTGTTCCAGCGGGACAAGTTCTACGACGTGTCCCTGGACACAGGGGACAAGAGCCCTCAGTGCGGCCGCCGCGCCGACGGCCTCAAGCTCTGGATCCTCTGGAAAGCCGTGGGGACCCAGGGGCTGGCACAGCGTGTGGAGCGGGCGTTCGGTGCCTCTCGGTGAGCCCCAGGATCAGGGGGAACCCTCCATCCTCCCAAACTTGGCTTCACCCCTTTGCTGTCCCCAGGTATCTGTTGGAGCAGGTGAAGAGGAGGGAGCGATTCCAGCTGGTGATGGAGGTAAGGGTGATGGTGGAATGGAGGATGGGGGATATGGACACCTAAGAGTCCTGGAGGTTGGAATGCCACAGGTTTAAATCATCCTGGAGCTTTAACTGCCTGGGGGTTAATCCCAAAGGTTTGAATCCCCAAAGTTGAAATTCCAGAGTTTTCAATCCCAGAGGCTTGAATTGTCCCAGAAGTTTAAGTCTTGGAGGTTTAAATCCCTGAGGACAAATCCCAGAGGTTTGAATCCCAGAATCTGAAATCCTGGAGTTTGGAATTCCACAGATTTAAATCACCCCAGGGATTGAAATCCAAGAGGTTGAAATCCTGGAGTTTTAATAATCCTGGAAGTTTCCATTTTGGAGGTTTAAATCCTGGAGGATTAAATCCTGCACGTTCCAACCCCAGACAATTAAATACACATGGCTGAATTCCTGGAAGTGCGAATCCCTATCAGATTCTGGGAATTGGGTGAATGGTCATGATCTCCTTCCTCTTCCTCTTCCTGCAGCCAGAATTTATCAACCTCTGCTTCTGGTTCATCCCACCCAGCCTGCGGGGCCAGGAGAACTCCCCGCAATTCTGGGACAAACCGGGAAAGGTGAGCCCAGAATTCCAAATTCCCCCCACCACCAACAGCCTTGCAAATCCCCAGAAATCACCCAAAAAGAAAAACAAAATCCTCCTGAAATGGTGTTTCTCCCTAGGTGGCCCCAGCCATCAAGGAAAAGATGATCCGGAGGGGCTCCATGATGGTGGGATACCAACCCCAAGGATCCCACGTCAACTTCTTCCGGCAGATTATCACCAATCCTGCTGTCACCCGCCAGGACCTGGACTTCTTCCTGGATGAGATACAGGAATTGGGATGGGATCTGTGAGCAGTCCCAAAAACCCCAGTGAAAGACCCCAAAACCTTCCCCCCATCCCGGAGGAAGAGGAGCAGATCCTTGATTTCCTCCCGTCATCCCAAATTGGAAATGACCCCAAAACTCCACACTCATGGAATAAAACTCCATTTAATGGTCTTGATCTGATAATAATTTGATATAACCCCACCCTCAAAATAGGGTTTGGGGTGTAGGGGGTCCCATAATTCCCCTGGAAGCTCCAGAGGAGGTTGTGGATTCTGGGATCAGCATGTAGTGGCCTTGTGACTCTCCTGACATTCCCATGGCTTCTTGAAGTTCCAGAGGCTGGAATTTGTAGGGAAGAGGATCTGTTAGCACGCAAAAAACTCTTGGGAAAGTACTGCAAAACCTGCTGTGTCCATCCCTGAGGAAATGGAGCAGAGCCTGGACTTCCTTCTGGGATCTTTAAATCAGGAGTAAAGATGGATGTTCTCGGCACTTGATCCTAAAACTCAGCACTCATTGAATAAAAGAGCATTTATTGGTCTCAATTTTTTATGAATTTGATATCACACTCCCCTCCCCCAGGAAGGGAGTTTGGGGGCCCCTCAATTCCCCTGGAGGCTCCGGAGGAAGTTGAGGATTTCGGGATCAAGGTGGGCATCCTCAAGGCAGGCTAGGAGCTGGGACGCCGTGGCTTCCTCTCGCTGACGCCGCTGCCAATCCCGCAGCATCTCGAAACTCCTCATAGTGGAATTGTTTGGATTTTCCTCCTGGATCTGGTCCAGCCGGCTCTGCTCCAGCCCTAGATGCAGAATTCCCACCTGCTTCCACTCTTTTCCCAATTTTTTGGCGACTCTCAACAAATCCTTCTCTGTCAAGAGTTGGGGATTTATGGGTGGAGCTGGAATCCCTCCAGGATGCTGTCCTGAAGTGGGATTCCTGGTCCCGTTGAGGGTGTCCCTTTTAAGTTCCCTGGGGTTTTCCTCGGGGATTTGCTCTTCCAGGGGCAGCTGGAAGCGCTGGATGAGGTCGGGGCGGCCAATCTGCTGCAGGATCCTGGCGATCTCACGCAGGGAATTCCCCGGGAAGCGCTGGAGGAGGATCCGGCACAACTCAGGGCGCGATGCCTGGAGCACAAGCCCGGCAGGAATTTTGCTTTCCAGTAGGTACTTCAGGTTCTGGAATTGTTCTTCCGAGAGCGCCTGGTGCACCTCCAGCAGCGTTGCCCGCTCGTCTCTCGCCATCGGGGCAGAAAATCCCACAGGGAAATGGGGTCACTGCTGGGACACAAGGTCTGAGCTAGAGGAATGACCACGCAGCCCACAGAGTGGCGGACAAAGGGGCCACCCCTGGGCCCAAAAAATTCGGGGTGTGGGTGGAAAGGGGCCACGCTGTGCTCCATAAATTGGGGGTAGATGGGTCACCGCCCGCCCCGAGGGCTTTCCTGGTGCCCCCGTTATCCTCTCTAAGGGGACGCTAGGGGCTGAACCCTGCCAGCGTCCCCCTAGAGCACCCCACCCTGCCCTGGGCCTGAGACCGCCGAGTCTCCCCACAGTGGCCCCCTAACCCTGGGGCTGGGACCTCCAGCGTCACCCCAATGCCCCCACTCCTTCCTGGCTCCTCCCGATGTCCCCGCCGTGTGCCAGGTGCCCTTTCTTCCGGGTCCCCACGATCTCGCGGCGCCCTCGGTACTTCCCTAGTCCGGATTCGCACCGTTCTCTCCCTCAAGCCTCTCGTTCTCCCCCCGCCACCGCCCCGCTCTCACCGCGCTCTGTTCCTGCCACAGCCCCGCTCTCACCGCGCTCGGTTCCCGCCACAGCCCCGCTCTCACTGCGCTCTGTTCCCGCCACAGCCCCGCTCTCACCGCGCTCTGTTCCCGCCACCGCTGTTCCGCATCTGACGAGCGGAGGCGCGGCTTCCTCTCCCGCCCCATCGGAGCGGGACCGCTTTGAGCGGACGGGGCGCGTCCTGCCCGGGGCGCGGCCCGGGGCCGTCCCGAGCGGAGTCCGGAGCCTGCTTTCGGGGCACCGGGGCGATTCGGGGGTGTGGGGAATGAGTTTTGAGCCCAGCGTCCAGCCCCGAGCGGCGGCCGCGCGGGAGCCCTTCCCTTCTCCTGGCCTCGTCCTGTGCCCTTGTGAGATGCAAAGCTATGTGTCGTGTCAGGTACAAACAGGCGACGTGTGTATTTGCGAATGCGAAATGTGTGGACCCCGACAATGGGAGAGCTGTGAATTCTAATAATAAGTGAAGAAAATAAAGCATGGAAAAAGGCCTTTGAACCTATCTTTTGTTTGCAATTAACCCTGGTTGATTTAGGAGCATTGGAATTAAGGTGTTAAAGATGTTGCTTTTTGCTTGCATTTAATCCATAAAAAGCTCTGCAATAATAACCTTTTGATGTATAATTTTAGAATATTACTTGTATCCTTGAAACTATAGCTTTTGAATATATATGAAGGAAATATGCTTATCTCACACCTTATTGAAGCAGAGAAAAACAGCTTGAGGAAGAAAGATGAACATCACCTCAAGGATTTACAGTTTTGACCAAAGGGAAGCTGGACATCACTGTTATGAGATTTAGAGTCTCTGCAATTAAAAGGTGGACACACATCTGGGGAGCCGGACCCCACCAGATGGGATTCATCTTTCTTCTTTCAGAAACTGGACTGTCACCATCTGGGGATACTCCTTTGAGATACATCCTGAGAAATTAAAATCACAATAGTGTATAGAATTGTGATGTAATATGTTGGAATGAAAGTTGCTGATGGGTAAAAGACTGGAAACAGAAACTGCTGAAAAAAACTGAGTACCCCTATAAATACCTGTAACCCTCAATTATCAGTGTGCAGTTGGAGGGAAAACTTCCCCCACTGTACCCAGCGCTGTATTGCTCACACTTTACTATATTAAATAATAAATTGATTACTGCTTGAATATTGGCTTAGTCAAGCTTCTTATTCATAACAAATTTGGTGCGTTGGCCGGAAATTTCCAAATCCATTGAGGGAGACTCCTAATCTCGGAGAGGCACCCCACCTTGGAGGCTTCTGCCTCGGGTGGCCCCGAGTGACGGGGGACTCTCTCAGGGAAGAGGAAATCCATAAGGCAAATTATGAGCGAAGAATTTTGAGCTCCTGGAGTAGACTGCAGTAAATTCACCTGTAATAAACTCGTGCACAAAGACCCAGGCAAGAAAAGGAGGCTGTAAGTATTGCTTGGTTTGGTGGGATAAGAACAGGTGTAGGTGTGTAAGAGTGTGAATGGTGTGTCTATGAGATGTGACCTAATCATGACACAGGTGAGGAGTTCTTCTCACCTCAGCTTTGCTACCCCACGAGGGGGGCGGCAGGTGAAGGAACAAAGCGTGTGGAAGAGGATTTTCTGTATATAAAAGGTTGGGGGGGTGAGATACGATAATAGTTATGGAGAGGAATTTGTTTTCTTTTCCTCGTAGAGAATCAGAGGCAAGAGGCGTTAGAACGGACTTGTTATTAAGGAAATTCCTGACAAGAAGGACTAAGGTCTGAACAAGTGAGGTCAAAGCCAGTGAGGGAACACCTGTTCCGGGAAAAAAAATTGGTCAATGCCAGAGCAAATACCCAGGAGGTGGTATAAACCAGCAGGAAAATAAAGGTACTGAAAGTACTGGAAAAAGAGGGAGCATTTTGCCAGATATACCCCAGGACAGCCCCCTTGTGGTAATGTTAAAATTGTAGGACAAATGTGAATCCAGGAGAGGAGAACGTAAAGAGAAAATGATACAATATGGTATGGTAGAATGGACTAAGGAAATGATACGACCTGATAATTTATACTAGCCAATGTACGGGTCATCTGAAGGGTGAATCTGTAAGGCCTTGAATGCCTATGTAAATACAAAGGACCCTATTAACCAAGAAGAAAGCGATTATGCTGCTTTATGGCATGGGTCCTGGCCTACTCCTCTGTATGCATTAAAAACCAAAAAGGAAAAGAATCAGTGAGATCCCTTAGATAACCTTCCCCCCCCCCCCCCCCCCCCCCCTTATCTACCACAGCCAGCTGCACTGGCAGAGGGGCCTCATCCAGCACCTAACCTGGCACATTCCAGCACCCCCTGCACCACAAGCCCCGGTGGCTCCGCTGCCACTGCCACAAGCCCCGGTGTGTGGAGAATATTGTTAATAAATGGTTAAGTGAGAAAAATCATCCTGACATAATGCCGCTGGTTAAGCTTGGTAGGGAGGACAGCAGTCTTTGATTCAGTGGCTGCTGACAGGCAAGAATGCCGGATGACCTTGCTGCAACGCCACTGCCACAAGCCCCGGTGGCTCCACTCCCACTGCCACAAGCCCCCGTGGTTCCACTGACACTGCCACAAGCCCCGGTGGCTCCGCTCCTGGTACTTGATTCACCACCAGCACACAAAACGAGAAGTCAGGAAAGGTCACGAGCAGAAAGCAGTGGGGATAGCAATAAAGAAGGGAAGGGGGGGGCAGCTGTACCCATCAAGGGAAGTACCATTAGTAGGAAATCAAGGGAGACCAGTCATTGGGGATGTGTCAGCACCCCTGAACACCAGGGATGTAAGGGTGTTTAAAAAAAAAAAGAAATAGGAAGGTTACTTGAAGATCCTCTAGGGGTGTCTGAAAGGTTAGATCAGTTTCTAGGATCCAGTATTTACACGTGGGTGGAGATTCAGTCAATTTTAAGTATTTTATTTACAGCAGAGGAGAGGCAGCTGACAAGATAGGTTAACATGAGAATTTGGGATAGAGACCACCAGCAGGGACCTTTAGGAGAAATGAAATGGCCCCTGGCAGCCCCTAACTGGGACCGTAACAACAACCAGGACAGGCAGAATATGGTGGATCTCAGGAATATAATTATTCAGGGAATCTGAGAAGCAATCCCCAGAGGGCAAGATATTAGCAAGGCCCTGAATGAACGTCAGGGGAAAGACGAGTCACCCATAGATTGGTTAGAAAGAGTAAGGAAAGGTATACAATTGTATTCGAGATTAGATCCTGATACAGCAGTGTGGGAAGCATTAATCAAAACTCAGTTTGTGGCTAAGTCCTGTGAGGATATTAGAGGGAAACGCAGAAAGTTAGACGGCTGGCAGGAGAGAGGTTTGCAAGAATTGTTACGAGAAGCACGGAGAAAAAATATTTTATCGATGGCTCGTCAAGGGTGATAGAAGGGAAAAGAAATTCAGGATAAACAATTGTAGAAGGAGAAAATATGTCTGTAATAGAACGAGGAAAAATAAGTTCTAGCTGGTCAGCTCAGGCTTGTGAATTATAACGAGCTTTAGAACTTTTAAAAGATAAGGTGGGGACTATTTACACATACTCAAAATATGCTTTTAGAATGGTACACACATTTGGAAAAATGGTTCACACATTTGGAAAAAAAGAGGTTTGATAAACACTCAAGGGAAGAAACTGATCCATCAGGAGTTAATAATCAGAGTGCTTGAAGCCCGGAAAGGACCTAAGAGAATAGCAGTAGTACATGTAAGAGGTCATCAATGGAGGTCAAGCTACTTAGTGAAAGGAAACAACACAGCTACCAAGCTGCAAAGGAGGCAGCATGTAAATTAAAAGAAACTATCCAGCTGAACACTATAGTGGAAATTCAACAGGAGCTGCCAAAAAGTTATAGTACTCAAGAGGAGAATGCTATAAAAAGATTAGAAGCTAAGAAAGAGCTGGAAAAATGGGTACTATCAGATGGGAGAGAGATTTTACCTAAGGCTTATGCTAGAAGGATTTTAAGCCAGTTGCACCAACATACTCATCGGGGAACAAGAGCCTTATGTGATCATTTTTTAAAATATTATGGATGTATTGGACTTTTTGAGATAGCAAAA